AAAACTGGACAATAGAAGATTGGAGAAACGTTGCTGCTCTGATGAGTCTCCATTTCTGCTGACACATTCAGATGCTCGACTCCCAATAAATAAATACAAAATAAAATAAAATAAAGTTAAATTAAATTAAATTAATTAAAATAAAATACATTTTAAAAAATAAAAACAAAAAAAATAAATTAATAAATATATACATAAATAAATTTTTTTAAAAAAAAAATAAATAAATAAGTAAATTAAATTAATACATACATGAAAAATAAAAGGACAAAATTACTTAATAAAAAATTTAAATAAATAAACAAAAAAATAAATAGACAAAAAATTATAAATTATTTAAATAAATAAATTGATAGATAGATAGATGGATGGATGGATGGATGGATGGATGGATGGATGGATGGATGGATGGATGGATGGATGGATGGATGGATGGATGGATAGATAGATAGATAGATAGATAGATAGATAGATAGATAGATAGATAGATAGATAGATAGATAGATAGATAGATAGATAGATAGATAATTGACTGAACTTTTTTGGAGTACCGTAAACAGTTTGCAACTTGATATCTTTTGATATATTCTTCATAGCTTTTGCATGCATTTGGTAAAATCCAAATATCTATGATGTTTAATGACTTTCACTGCAAAAACACACACACACACACACACACACACAGCAGACGAATCCCGCGTCGATGATTTATGATTCTGTCGTGCTTTATTGGTGTTGGCTGTCACTCAGACTCATTGACTTATGATTTATGAATTAGTGTTTAAGAGCAGCTCAGAATGTAATTAAGCACAGTGTCGAGCGTCTGCGGATGGAGAGACGACGCGAGAAAACAAGTGTGTGTATTTCAGAAATACAGAGAAACGTCTCGCATGCAGAGGGAATGAGAATGAAGCAGCGTCTATAAATGTGTGTTCATTCTTCATCAACTCACATACCCTGATAACGGCGGATTAATGCTCTCTCAATGATCCGCAGAGGGCTAGAGAACACCATGTTGTTCAGTGATCTTCAGAGTCTTCTCCAGGGCTGCACAATATACGGTTTCAGCATTGATATTGCAATGTACACATCTAGTTATGGTTTAAGTCAGAATTATTCACCATCCTGTGATCGCTGGTTCAAGCCTCGGCTGGGTCAGTTGGTGTTTCTGTGTGGAGTTTGCATGTTCTCCCCGTGTTGGTGTGGGTTTCCTCCAGGTGCTCTGGTTTCCTCCACAGTCCTATGCGCTATAGGGGAATTGGTGAACTAAGTTGGCCATAGTGTATGAATGTGTGTGTGTGTGTGTGTGTGAGAGAGAGAGAGAGAGAGAGAGAATGAGTGTGTATGGGTGTTTCCCAGTAGTGGGTTGCAGCTGGAAGGGCATCCACTGTGTTAAACATATTCTGGAATAGATGGTGGTTCATTTCGCAGTGGCGATCCCTGAT